GTTCATTATCCATTCTTCGATATATTCATAGCAAATTTTATAAAAATTTTTAACTTCTATTAAAAAAATTGTTTTTTTTCCGGGATTGGAATCTTCCAAAGCGGTCAGTTTATAGGCTTTAATATAGCCTTTAATATTGTATATAGTAGTGAATGTATATATTTTTTCATTTAAAGTTTTTCTGTCACTTTATCCTTCTGAACTTATGTGATTAAGTTTTTGTTTTCTCTTACATATTTTCTCACTCATCTTATCTCATCCGTTCATTTTCTAAATTTTTTTTCATTTTTCTTAGCGTTACTTTTTTATATTTTTGTGTTAATTCTAACTTTTTAAATAGTATTGTTCCTTATACTACTTTTTTTTGTTACTTGTATTAATGTAGTTTTCTTTCTTTCTTATTATTTTTTATTTAATTGTTTATTTTATGAAGGTGTCGCTCCATTGACTTGTTTTTAATATGAGTGACACCGAACATAAATTTGTAAATTATAATAAGTTTGTAATTTTTGATTTTATGGTTAATTAACCATAAGCGCATGCGTAGTATGTACAGTAAGGTTTTTGTTATCCTTTTATTTAATTAAATAAATGGATAAAAAACTTTGCTGTTCATACTACGCATGCGTCAAGACTGTCAAGCATGGCGTACATACTGCAAATCAAAGATCAGCCTGGGGATTACATATTCAAATGTTGGATCCATCTCTTTTCACAAATGTTTTTTGACATTGTTAGAAAAAAAGGTCTGTAATATCTATCTATCTCACCAGGTTCATAATACGGCCTCTCAATTGTGTTGAAAATGGCAGCCATATGTGCATTCAAAATTTAAATCACTGTCAAACTTGTATCTGGTGTTTGCCCTGCCCTTTGACATGCTGGAAACAGCAAGCAATATGTGCGCATGAAATTCAAATCACTGTCAAAATAATTTTAAATATTTAATTAATAAAATTGAAATGAAATAATATAAAAAAAATGTTTTAGAAATACAAATGAGTACAAAATTATACAAATGAGTACTTTCAGAGTACAGAATTTGAAAAAAGTACGGTTTGTGAAAAAAGAGTAAAAAACTCAGTAAAAGAGAATAGCAGGTCACCTTAATTGTCTACATAATTTTTTGGTAGATTTCAAAGTTCTTGCAAAAGTTGGTTTTATCTATGAAAATATTGAGTTTAAAATCAATATTGCTGTTATCATATGTGATGCACCAGCTAGAGCATTTGTAAAGTGTATTAAAGGACACAATGGTTATAACTGATGTGAATGTTGTGCTTAGAAAGAAGAGTGGTGTGGAAAGATAATTCTTCTACATATTTCACTAAATTTAAGCACTGATTCAGATTTTTTGTCATTAAAAGCATTCTGAACATCTTAGTGGTGTGTTAAATTGAATTAAATTTTGACATGGTTACAAAGTTTCCTTTAGACTTAATGCATCTAGTATGCTTAGGGGTAATGCGAAGATATCTCAAGTTATGGTTAAATTGCCCAAATGTTGTAAATTGTCTCAGATTACAGTCATTACTTTATCTGGCGGATTGTTCCAGATACGTCATTACATTCCAAGAAATTTTTCTAGAAAATCAAGGTCTTAATTAGATATTAAAAACAACTGAGCTTAGACTATTTATAGTATACACTGGACCAGTTGTTTAAAGGGAATGGTTTAGCCAAAAATCTATTCAATTTTTTAGATTTTTCAGTTGTAGTTCTACTTTCAGAATGCTTCATTTTGTTGAAAAAATATGTTAATTTTGCTTTTCAGCTACTTATTTTTATATGTGAACTTTATCATAAGGATCAACTAGTGTACAATGTCCATTCATTAGCACATATAGGAAATAATACAGTTAAATTTTTAGTACTTGATAGGTGTCCCTCTTTCAAATACAAAACTTTTTCAGGTCAATTAAAAGATGTTTGTCTAGTGGGCTCATTTGCAAATTTAGGGGCCCTTTTGCAAATGTAAGGATTTTTTTTTTTTAGGATTTTTATTTAGATTTTGTTTATCTATTTGAAAAGATTTTAGGAATTTTGGGGCCCTTATGACAGGTTTTTTTTGGAATTGGGGACTTGTATCTAGTAGCCACGGCACTGTATATAAGGTATATAGAATATATATCAAATTATATACAATATAAATAAAAAAATATATTTATTTAATAATTTTATATAATTTATTTATCAGTAACTAAAGGAATCTTATCAATTTATTATATGAATCATAAGCATGTGCTTATCTAATACAAGTACCTTTGATGGTGAAAATTACATTTTTTTATCTAAAGAGAGTTGGGAGAAATGGTAAGAGTTTTATAACATATTAAAAATAATGTATGTGTTACCAATAAAATTTAAAACCAACAGTTAAACTTAATTTTTTACTGTTCATATTGAAACGAGATATTGTGTAAAGAGGTTTTCAAAGAAGTCGTTTTAACAATAATGGAAAAGCTTCCGATTCCCGTTATAAACGTGAAAGCATTTGATACATGATTAAAGAATCGTTTAAAAGTTTGCTTAACTTTGACAGTGTAATTTTAATTACTATTTTTTTTGAAATAAACCATTTAATTTATATATAAATTTGCTTTTTCTGTAAATTTTAAACATTTAAACGTAGTTTTGCAAGATTTGCAATGGGTAAACCTCGTGAGACCCTCACGGGATACCCGGCGGGCATACCCATATGGGCCCCAGAAGAAAACCGCGGCCATGATCCGGCGGGTTTCCGATGGGTTTCCCATATGGGTCCCATTTGCAAACCCAAATGGGTCCCTTACTGTTTTAAAGTACGGGATTTGACTGGGACCCATACGGGATACCCGGCGGGCTAACCCATATGGGTCCCATATGGAAACCGCGGTCATGATCCGGCGGGATACCGTTGGTCTTCCCATACGGGACCCAGTTGACAACCCGTATGGGCCCCGAACGGTACCCGTGTGTCAATGTTGGCTGGGTATATATATATATATATATATATATATATATATATATATATATATATATATATATATATATATATATATATATATATATATATATATATATATATATATATATATATATATATTTATATATATATATATATATATATATATATATATATATATATTTATATATATATATATATATATATATATATATATATATATATATATATATATATATATATATATATATATATATATATATATATATATATATATATATATATATATATATATATATATATATAAATATATTTATATATATATTCAGAAAAATAGTAAATAACAAAATAGTTAATGAAATTGCACTAATATGAGAATATAGTTATAACAGTATATAATGAAATAGTCATATATATAAGTCAGATATATAAGGAAATAGTTATAACAGTCAAAAAAAATTTTATATGGAAAAAAAGTTGAAGCAATCACCAGTAAAATATCATAAATATAGTGCATATTTTTCTGAAGTTTAAAAGAAAAATTTTTGAAATCCTACAGTCAAATTTTAAGAAAATTGATTTCAAATAAATAAACATATCTATGAGTTTCACGAAAAAGTTGCTAACTGAAAATAATGGTTAAGTACTCTAAGATGTTTTGTATCCTTTTTTTATATATATTTTTGTTAAAATTTTGTAATAATATACTGATCTACATAAAAATAAGGCTACAACATTGAGTTTTTAGAGATCAAATAACAAATAACACGGTTGCTATATAAAATATACTCTGTAGTTAAGAACCTTAGCTATTTTAAAAGTTCAAAAATCTTTCGTATTTTCTTACGCATGCGTACCTAAACATAGCGCTTTTTACTAATATCTAAACGACCGTGGGCTCAGTGTAGCTAATCGTAAAAATATCTTAGTTCTTCATTGGTACATAGACGGAATCACTGGCGTTGTGATTTTGATTATAATCCAATGATAATGAAGTTATTATCATGAAATTAGATTATGAATAAAGAATTTGCGTGGAGTTTTTTTTTTATTAATCTATAAATGATACTATTGGACTAGACGACAAGGTTTTTGGTCTTCGAATTATTGATAACATACTAATGGCCACACAACTGATACCATACCAAAACACTCACAACTCATAATATACCGAGGGCCACACAACCAACAACATACCGAAGGCCATAGTCGTCAAAATAATTTCTTTCAAAATTCTTTTTAAAGAAACAGTTTCTTAATTATTATTTATCACATTATCATTTATTATTTATCATCTATTTTTTTTTAATATAATACCATTTTGTCCGCTTTTTAACACTTTTAATTTTAACACTATTAATTTTTTATATCTTAAATTCAAAATTTATTTTTTCCTTATATTCGTAAATTACATGTCTTTAGTTATAATAAATGAAAAATTATGCTTAACAAAAACTAAAAAAAAAAACAAACTTTTTTTTAATGTATAATATTATTTTAGGTATTTTACTTAGATTGAAATTTTAATTATTTAATTGATATTTTATCTAAATAGGTCATCAACATGGGTAGAATAAACGACTTTTGTCTTCTTCTTGTCACGATCAGATCATAATTAAAAAAAACAATATTACAAATAATCATCTTGTATACAACAAAATTAAATAAATAAAAAAGTTTGATAACGTTTAAGTGTCTCAATATTTAGTACGTAAATTTTAGGATTTTGATATATTTATGGAGATATTGTATATTTACTGAGACAATGTAAACTATATATGGCGATTTAAAAAGCTGCCTAAAAATACAAACTGTTTAACTAATTGTGCATTTGAAATAAGATATGTTTTGAAAGAAGTTTAACACTTTTTATCTAAAAACATCTCAAACAAAGAGTTTCCAAAAAAAAAAACAGTTAAGTGACATTTTGTCTCGGTTAGTTTGAAGTTTTTTTTGATTACGATAATAAATATTGACACACCTCATTTGTGTTGACCTATTTTCCTTTATACTTGACATTTATTTAAAGAAAAGTTTCAATATAGGATAAAAATAAGTTTGCAACTTAAATGTTTAAAAATTAGTATTGTTATACAACTATTTTTTTTATTTAAAAAAAAAAAATTAACTTTTGATTCTTCTATTTACAACAGGTATTTAATTTAATTTATGTTATTACAAGGTATTTTTGTTAATAAACTCAAAAAGTATTAATTATTTATCATAAAAAAGATACAATAGAACAGAAAATACAGTTTATCAAGAAATACAACGTAAGAGAAAAGCTAAAGAAATGGTTGTTTTGAGTTTGCAGTTGGTTATCTTAAGATATGATTTTATATGTAGACATAAGTGAGCGATCAAACACTTTTTTTCAAGCCTGCTTTTAGAAAACAAAGAAAATATTAAATTAAAAAAAAAAAACTATAAATAATCTTAATCTTTATGTACGAAGTAGTAGAACATTGCAATGAAATTATGTTTTAAATTAGCAAAACAGCTCTAAAAAGTGTTTTTTCTGTTAATCTTATCTCTTCCTCAAAAAAAAAAGAAAGGAAATTTTTTGCTTCAAAATGCTCTAAATTAAGATTAAAAATTACACTAAAACCTGAAGACAGAAATTGTGCTTCCTATTACAAAAAGGTTGAAAGTGTATTTCAGGCATCCTTGTTCTCAAAAATATTTGCTTGAGTTTAACTCGTTGTTTATTGTCTTTAAGTAAAGTGCATGGGATAAACGTTTACCAAAAGTTTATAAGAAAACTTCATAAATCTTTTATCACAGTATTTTCAACAGTGACAAATAATGACACCTAGTATTACAAACAACTAAGAACCCAAACATATATGACTTTAAGACAATACTTTACATTTACTTCACGTTTTTAAAAGCTTAACTTTTTTATTTTATTAAATAAATAGATTCATTTATTAATCAGGTATAAACCATAAAATTTTAGGTTTTAAAAGTATATATATTTTTTAGAGATATTAATGACATTTGTTTTTTGACTTTTTTCTTCCAAAGTATGGACTTAGATACTTTTAGCACCGAAATCTAAAAATTAATAAAAAAAAAAGCTTACTTAAGACAACTAAAAATGTTTATTGTTTTCATTAGGATTATATCAAAATTGTTAAAAACTATTTTGGGAACTTTTTTGGTATTGCAATAAAAAAATTAAAACCGTTATAAAAAAATAACAGAATACAATAAACATAGAAACATAGTAATAGTAACAATTTCATATAACAATATTTTGTAAATATATAATAATGTGTGTAATCGCTTTAAAATTTAAATAAACCAGCCTTTTTATACAAATTGAAAAATACAAAAAAATTGCAATGCAGATAAAATTTAAACATCGAAACTATATGTATATATATAAAACATGTGCAAGAAGTTTATTATTAAGTTAGGCTGTTTTAATGAGAAAAAAGGGTACATAAGCCGGGCTTGGTTTTAAAAACGTTACAAATGACATTTTTTCTAAATTTGTAACATTTAAAGTATGTTTTACCTAATAAAAGTTATATTTTTTAACTTTTCTCCTTTTTAATATTTTTATATAATTTGTATGCTGCATACTTGAGAAAAATTTTCTATAATAAAATTTATTATTCATTTATAGTTAACTTTATTTTATTCATTCATAATTTTGAGATAACTAACTTGCAGACATGGAGCGAATAACAAACATTTATATGTTTATACTTATGTAATATAAGAATGATTTTCAAAATATTGTGGTAACTAGAGCATGGGAACAAAACCCCTAAATTTTCTCTCCCTGCCCCAAACTTCAGAGATCATTTTCATCCTAAAACCATAAAAATCAGATATTGACATAAATATATTATATAATGACTTTGGACACTTTATCAGTAAATAGATACAACATGATCTAACAAAACAGGATCCTTTGACTGGCATTGTCAAACTGTTTGTTGAGACCTCCATAATTAATCTCTTAGACATAGTTCTCATTTTTTTCATAATAAAATTTTCTTTCTTCAACTGATTAAGTTTTTGTGACATGTCCAGAAATATAAGCTAGAGATTTTTCACATTTGAATCAAGCTGTTCTTCCAGTTCAGTTAATTTATAAAAAACACTTGATAAATCGTTATTTAACAAAAAGTTATTTAACAATTTTCACACCTGCTTTATTCTCACCAACTTCATCTATATTTATATCCTCTTGCAACAATTATTTGGTTTTTAAAATTCTGACATTTACTGAAATTTACAGTGTGTTTATGAAATAAGTCCCATTAGAATTATTTTACCTTTTCAAATCTTCACAAATATTTTTTATAGTGGGTTTGTAATATGTATCAAAATCCAGAGTTAATAAAGGACCTGACAAGTGCAATCATTCCTAAAAATGCATGCCAAAGTGCTGTCCCCGTATCACGTGTAAAGTGATACTTTCTTTGTCCTTGACTACTGGTCTTTTTTAGCGCTAACAAACAGCTTTGCTCAAAAAAGTTACTAAGTTATTATATTACAGGTCTATCACCAACGCGATAACCTAAGTTTACAAATGGTCCTTAATAATAACATTCAAAACATTAATATGATTTCAATAAATTGTATGTTACCATCTAAATTACTTATATTAGAATATGCCTTTAGCGCAGCTAATGTTTTATCACAAAATATATGGAGATAAGTAGATTTGTCTTTCAATGTGTTTTGGTGCTACCAATACATCATTAAGTTTTGAAAGTATAAATAAACTGGTTTCATATAAACGCTGTAAGTCAGATCGCAAAGCTGATTTCAATTCACTTTCATCTTTAAACATTTGATTAAAGTTTATCTATTTTGGATTACCGCATACTGACACCAAAATAAAACTTAAACAATTGATGCTAATGAATGAAGTTTTTTTACTGCTTTTCCTAATAAAGACCCAAAACGATATGTTAGATCAGGCTTTTCGTAGACTTCGTTTATAAATAAAATACACTTTTTTTTATAATTAATTTTTGTCTTTTTAAAAGTCTTGCTGATGCATTCAAAATCATCAAGACAAAAATTATTTTTTTGTGTAATTTTTTGAAGAAGTTAATTACTTGGAAGATGGTAATCTTGCCTCAGTCTGTCATATAGCAATCTAAATAAAGAATAATACTCAAAACGACGATTACTTGTATGATGAATATACTTTTTTTTTCAATGACAATGGGACACATTGAATCAAAATGTTCCTGAATTATATTAAATTTAATGCTTTTTATTAAAAGTATTTTCAACATTCTTCAAATTGTGAATATGATTTAAATTGGTTTCTTCTTTTTTTAATAAACATTGGATTGTGTACTTTATATCCCAAAAATATACCACAAAAGTCAAACCATATTTAATCTTTATCAAAACACTTTTATTTTTTATATAGTATTTCTTTTTTTTCAAAATCAGTATGAATAATCTATTTAGTGAAGAACTAAACAAAATGGATCAAAAAATCTGCTAGTATCAACTTTATTTTTGATATGCTTAATATTGGCAACGAATATAGTGAAGGTGACTCACGAGGTCTCTTTTTACCATGCTTTATTATTGTTATCGAGTTAGGAGGAAAATGGCGCTCACATAAACAGTATTGAGGTATATTATCTAGTGGTATTATAGAAATTCATTGTCAACATTCTTCTTTTTCAGTTAATAACCAGAACACTTTTTTTTTTATTATTATAGTTGCCATTGCAACTCATAATAAAATTATTATGAGTCGTGTTCTGTGTACGCCTACCTTCTTTTTCTTTTTCAGCAACTGCTTTCAAGCGATCCGCAAGTGTCTATTTGTGTTCAGCAACCAATTCTACAGCGCCAAGAAAATTGTCGTTTCCATCCTAATAGACCTTGTGGTTAGATCCTATTTATAAAGTATTAAATTTTAATTAATAAACGGTGAAAAGATACTGAAAAAGAGATTATAATAATTTCTTGATATCTTGTTTAAAATACAGAAAAGCATATGGAAACAATGGAATCTCTATTTTTATTTGATAAAGCAGTCCCAAGAGCCGAGTCGTTAGATATGTGATTGATTAAAATAGCTGCAGTAGAATCCACCTTGTCTATGCCACGGTCATCATTATCGACTTCTTGAATTGTTTATAAATAAAAATGAAAACATAAAACATATTTATAAATAATAGAACTTTTTTTGAATTATAGAAGAATGTTATATCTGCAGAAATGTCATCGTTTTTATTAAGGATTGCTTGATAGTCCTTAATAGTTTTAGTTAGCCTGGCCCGGTCAGTTTCACCGTCGGTTACCGCATACATCTCTTGATCTTCATTTAAATGATTATGAGTCCGCTTGTTTTTTCCTTGAGCACCTTTTATTATTCTCTTCTTTTTTCGTCCTCCTGCGCTTAATGGCTCAATAAAGAGTTGGTTGTAGGCTGATTGGTTTTCATTTCATATTTAAAGCACAAAACTATATAAAAGGGTTTTATTTATGTAGTGTAATACTTGCTGTAGAAATTTCTACATAAAAATGTCTCTTAGGAAAATAATTTATAAAGTCCATTTCAATCAATTAATAACGATTTACAATTGCACTATTATCAAAATATTCCTTCAAAAATTATTTGTAAAACTCTCTTTGACAATCAATAAAATTGCAAAACTATTTCCTAGGAAATTAATTCTGCACGAGGAATTCTCGCACGAATGGAATGAAATCCATAGCGTTAGACTTAACTTAGTTAAAAAAAGTTGATAGGAGAAACTACGAACAATTTAAAATTATATAATTAGTTGTAATAATTTATTAAATATACTAAACTAAAAGTTAAAAAAAAATAGATAAAAATGTTAAAAAAATGTCACAACAACGTTACATGTAGTTTATAGTTTTCTCGCATGGTTTGAATAGCCATTTAGAGGACATATCACAGAACGTAAACACTGATTTCTGAAGGAAAGAAAAAACACGTGGTCTATTAATAAAGAGTCATCTATCGTAAAAATGATCTTAGGAATCAGTAATCGCTTTAATCAGATTAAATTGAAGCAAAATCAAAAATCCAAATATAATAATAAAGGAAACAATTTTTATTTCTTTATTGGGTGTTTTCAATTTTTTATTTGGCATACTGATATTTTTTTTGTCATTTGATGATGCCCCCATAAACGTGATGCCTGGGGGTAACCGACCCGGATCCTCCACCCTCTGTGCGCCCCTGCTTGGTAAAATAATAGTAGTTTTACTTTTTTTAGTAAATATTTACATAAATCTTTTACACCTAATGAACTTTTTCTCTCTTTTTAGGTTCTAACACTTGATATTTGACATCAAATAACAGACGGAAACAAATGGATAATCTAAATAACATTAAAAAAAGAAACAAAGATACTTTGAATGACAATGAGTCAGTGGATGTTATTGATGCGCCTCCAAAGATGCCTAAAATGCATGAGGATGGGGCTTCCATTTCAAAACAAAAAAATTTGATTCAAATCAACGAAAGTTGTTCAAGTACCCAAATCAGTTCGGAAAATATAATAAGGGAACAAGAGACAGTTTCAGTCAGGAATGACGAGGAAGGTATAGAATTTTCGCACATAAGATATTTTCCTAAAAAGCCAACAATAGATTTATCGAAGGTTGATTTCAAGTTAAACTCTGATAACTTTTATGATACTAACACTTTTCCAAGAGGAACTTTAACAATAATAAATGTAAAAAACTTTATGAAATCTTCTGGTCGGCATGATGACCCTAGATTAGGTACAGATGTTGATGCACAGAGTTTATGTGATCTTTTTCTAAAATTAGGTTTTAAAATAGATAGGTTAGATAATCCCAAGTCAACTGATGTATTAAACATACTGCAGCAGGCAGCAAATGAAGATTATTCTTCAATGAGTTGTTGTGTGGTGGCATTACTATCACATGGAGAAAAGGGTAAAATTATTTGCACAAACGAATCTTTAAATATAAGGGAAATAACAAATCTATTCTGCACTAATGCTTTAGCCGGAAAACCAAAATTATTTTTAATTCAAGCATGTCGAGGAACAAAATACATGGAATCAATAGACACGGTTGATGGTTTCGGACCTGGATTGTCAAATGAATCAAATGTCCTAGATGTAACTGTTGAAAGCGATTTTTTGTACGCTTATTCAACAGTTCAAAGTTATTATAGCTGGAGAAATCAAAAATCTGGTTCGTGGTTCATTAATGCTGTTGTTTCTGTCTTTCGTGATTATGCCCATAAAATGGACGTTTTACGACTTTTAACACGCGTAAACAAAGAAGTAAGCAAAGAAACGTCGAAAACCAATAATCTAACGAAAGATAATAAAAAACAAATCGGTTCACTAATCTCTCTATTGCGAAAAGAGTTATTTTTCTTTCCATATGATGAACCTATGGAATCCGTATAAGATAGATATTTTAAAAAATATTTAAATCAACGTCTTGTTTTTCATATTTTGTAGAAAACTGAAATTTATGACTGAATTTCAAATTTGAAGTTTTTCTTAAACTTGAATAAATCAGGGTGCTTACTCGCATGATTAGGTGCACAACTTATTTAGAAGTTCAGGGTGCGTATGTACAACATTACGTGCACAATTTATGTAGGAATCAGGGTACTTATTCACAAGGGCGTGTTTGAGTTAAGACCGTGGGGGGAGGGAGACTAATTTTTTTCCATAATAACTAAAAACAATTTAAAGTTGATTACCTAAAGCTTTTTATCCTGATACTCATTTGCATATATATATATATATATATATATATATATATATATATATATATATATATATATATATATATATATATATATATATATATATATATATATATATACATTAATCAATTTTGGTCTATTTTAGATTTTAACCATGTTTTCCATCTACAAAAATTTGTTTTTGACCAATATTAGCAAGTAACAAAAAATTGGAAACAAATGTGAAAAAATATGCATGTATTTGTGCGCCAAAATACTAAAAAGATTGAGGACTTATACAGCTCTAATACTATGCTCATGTCTATAAAGTGTAAAATGTTCGAGATTATATTCGTAAAAAGGAAAACAACCTTTCAGCAGAAGCGGTGCTAACAGGAAAATAAGAAATAATGAAAAGCAATTCTCTAATAGTAGGATATACAACTTTACTACACGCCTCTTCACTAATAATAACATCAGGATAAATTCTTCCACCTTAAAGAAAAAAATGAACTTAAAAAACACTATTTATAAAATTATAAGCCAACTGATTCATTGCACCTACATTGTGGGTTCTGGTCCATTTAATTTCCATAAATCAATTTTACTTTTTAACTCTTTGTTTTCTATAATCATCTATTTTGCTTCATTAAATTTAAAATGATCTATATTATTTTGTACAGTTTTTATAATTCATTCATTAGTTGTGTTTATTATGTTATTTGGAATAAATATAGATAAAAATATAAATGCTTGATTTTTATATTTTTATACAAAATATCAAAAAGTACTGGCGTTCTATAGGAGTCACGGGATTTACTTAATAAAAATCATCTAAAATAAATCTATTTCAGTTTTATACAAAGTCACTTGAATAACGCAAATATTGCGTTATTCAAACACTCTACCGAAAACAAAAACATGCTTTGAGAATAATAAGTTAAAAAAAAAAAAACGAACAAGCACAACCACTGTTCGAAATTATGAATATTTTTACGTTATACGAGATAAACGTTACTAAAACTTAATGTCTCATCATGGCCTACTTAAATTACACGGCATGGTTTGTTGCATTTTCCGTAAAAAATTAAGAGGACAGTTTTTTTACGGCTCAAGTATAAAAACTTAATTTTCGCTATGGTCATGAGTCTTGTTTGTATTATAATTGGTTTATTCTTATTTTATTAAAATGGTTTAATAATAGTTAGATTTTATTTAAGTACTTTCATTATTTTGTGCTGGATTTTTTGTTAACTGATTGCCTGCTTTAGTTTATCACAATTACACAGAATACTGAAAAAGGCTTTCAGATAACTTTATCAACATGCTACTAAAAATAACCTTACTTGTTGCTAAAACTACCCACAACTCTCCATTGGAAATAATTTTAAAGGTTTTTACATTTGTATTTATTATAATTGCAGTTATTAGATATAAAAAAATCGATTTTTCTTTGAATAATTTACACGGCAAAACAATGTTTTGAAATGTAAATACTCTACTATGCTGCATGTTTCATACATACAGCAATAAAAATGCAACAAAACAGGCCAAGAAATATCAGGCATACCAACTGTTTTGAAGTCATTATTTGTTAATAAAATTCTTTATTTTTCATTGCCTAATAAATGCTAATTGTATTTCATATTTTCATATTTCTTTATGAAAATGATTTCGCAGTGATGAAAATTACAAATTACAGGGTTATTCATTCTTATATGCGCGTCTATTCATTTTTATATGCGCCTTTATTCATTCTTATATGCGCATTTATCTCATTTAGCTCCACATTCTAGCAAACCTGGCCTTTGAGCCAATGTACAGATTCAAACCTTTTACTTTAAATGTAGAGATTTAATTAGTGTATATTATAATACATTAAAATTATACTATCAAACATTTTTAGCTCTTTAATTGAACTATTAATGTTATACATGAGTTTAAACTTTGTGCATGTCTTTTTTCATGCCCTTTAAAACCTGTCTTAAATACAAAAAAATGTTGAATTAACAGAAACTTTTGATCTTGTTTGTTTTAATGTTTTAAAATTAAACCTGTGTGTGACATTTGTCACTTAACTCGTTTCTCGGCGCAGCGGCCTTGTTCGCCAAGGTTCGTTTTTTGAATTTATAGAGTTGAGAGAGGGTTATAACCACAAATAAGGATCCTCCTTGTGAGTAGTAGCCTTTAGGAGGTGAATTAAAATAAAAAAAGGCCTTTAGGAGGTGAATTAAAATAAAAAAAAATTTGTAAACAAAATATATCTGAATTTTTGCTAAAAGTTTACTAATTAATAAGGAATTAAATTGAATTAAAAATTTAATATTAATTTTTATCACAACGGAGTTAGATCACGCAAAAAAATAGCTATTTGTATAGCCCTAGACGTTATACATTATGAAGGCCTTAACAATGCGTACGTTAAGGGTGGATACAAAGGACTAAGAAGTTAAACTTCCAAAGTACCTAAAGAAACGTTGGATGTCATAAAATTAACGTGCAATAGGTAACCGGGGTGCAAAACCAGTTGTTTTGCTGCGTATATATATATTATTGATACCGATAAGAAGAAGTTGTTTTAGTGGCGGAATTAGTATAGTACTCCTTAGTGCCTTGGCGAACAAGTAAGTAATGTATAATCCTATACCTCCCTAAAAATACCTACGTTTTTAACCTACCAACCCACCATTTTATATATTTTTTAATTTATTGTCTCCAAACATTTATAATTGACCTACTGCCCTCTCCCCTATCTCATATTTTTACATTTGCAGACCCCTCTTCCTCTACGAGCGTTCGTCTTTTATGGACGATCCCTTGACTACTTTTTATGTGCTGCGAAATAAAAAATTTAAAATGTTCAAAATAACAAAGTTTTCAATTAAATAAGATTTCAAAGTTCTTTTCCCAGGGTTTTTAATAACTGGTGTAAGATTTACAACCCTAAAATTAAAGGGACATGATTCGTTTAAAAATCGTTTAATAACAAGAAATAAGTGTACGACTTTTAGGGAGCTAATCATCAAATCAAGAAAGTAAACTATACGCTAATCAATTTTTTAAAATATTTGGAAATAAGGCCAAAATAAATCTAGTTATTTAATAAACAGGGGTGGGTAAGGGGAAAAAAAGAATTATCTGGTAGTATGAAATGCAGCCTACAAAGAAAATTATGTATTTAGAAATTTTCATATATTTTGCAGTATTTTGCATCTCTTTTTTTTTTTCTATTTTTTGTATTATATTCTAATCTCTTACATATAAATTTTTACATTATTTAGACTTTCTTTTTTAAAAATTTATAGTTTCAATATATTCTTTTTCTCAAGGTTGGTTTTAAGCTATCTGTTTATAGGGTTAGTTTGTGTGATTTAAGATAACTTTTTTCTTTAAACTCGTAATAAATGAATCCACCTCCTTGTTTGTATTATCCAATCCTATTTCTTTATTCAAAACCCTATTTTTTTATAAATCAAATAACACGATCTTTCAACATGTGTAACTTTGATAACAATGAACCATATGACCAATTAGCACAATAAAACTATTAAATCAGCAATATACTTTTCTAAAGATAAATACTTAGCAATATTAAAAAGCATATCTATTTTATCTAACATAAATTTCATTTCTCAAACACACTACAAACACTTTAATATGTATACTAATATAATACTCTATGCACTACTTATCAACCAATAGTTTTTAAAAATATCTAATCAAAACATTTAAAATAATATACTTTCAAAAATATTGTTCTAAAGATTAATATCCTTTACCTTGTATCCAAAATCATTAAACTGTGTGCTCTTTTTTATCTATTAAATCTGGAATCAGGCACAAGTCAACCTACCTCCCATAATCAGTTATTTCTTTACTGCTACAAAAAGTTCTTGTTATTATCTTCTGTCGTTTAGTAACCTTAAATTATATATCCTCAATCATTATTTAGTTATGTACAGCAATAATTCACAAACCAATGCATAAAATCATGGAAGAGATTACCTCTTCACTTTAAATCACAAAACCTTATTACTAAAACCGGTCTTTAATTATATTTTTGGAGAGATACTGTTTGTAAAATGATGGGCTAATTGTGGGTTATTATTATTATTACTTTTGGTGTTATTTTTTATGTAACAATAATATTATTTTATGTAATAAAAATATTATTTTATGTAATAGTAATATAATAACATTGTTTTACTATTATTCATATACTAGCTGTGATCGGACCCGTAAAAATACGGGTCTTTGTAAGTCTATTCCAAACCGAACGTTTTAATACCTTTTCCTTATATATTCCACACCTATTATTTCAATACCTATTCCTTATTTACTTCAATATATTTAAGTAAAATAATTTTGTTTTGAAAAACTTCTTTAAGAGCCGAAAATTATAAAAACTATAAAACGCTATGGAATCGCCCACAAATTACGCAACGCTAAATTTATTTTTCAAAAAGTAGAAGAGATCTTCAGTTTTTTAGGATAACGATTTTTGTTAATCTTAATAAGCTCTAAAAATTTAGATCACTTTTACTTTCTTCAATTGTGAAATTTAACGTTGAGTAATTTATGGGCGATCCCTTATTTTAGAGTTTAGATAGAAGATAAGCCAAAATGTATATAAAGCCAAAAAATAATAGAGTATAATATTATTTTAATGGTTAACTAAATTGTTTTGTCATTGCGCACTTAGTTTTGTATGTTAAACGGGGGCGCGAATTAATGGCAGTATAACTTTAAATTTCCTTGCTATTTCAATACTAAATATAAAAGTTAAACTTTAACTT